CACTCACAAAATGGCATGTGTGTTGATGAAAAACTATCATCTAGGTACTACAATCTCATTTTCACATTAAAGATACCAATATGAACAGCAAAAAAGATCACTTTCTACTGAAAGATTGTCAGTTTGATATAGTTTATTATTCAATCTAGTATGCGATTGTGTCATAGTTATGCATAACATGCATGGGTCATTTGAAATCATTCTCACTCGTAGTTTAGAGTTCATAAGGCCAACTATTTAGCTGCATTCCAATGGTATTTATTAATTTAGAAAAAACCAAAAACCCATGTCAAATGAACTACAACTGAAATACTATTTACATTAACAGATGCAATTTTTTTCTTTTTTTTTTGAGACAGAGTCTCACTTTGTTGCCCAGGCTACAGTGAGTGCCGTGGCGTCAGCCTAGCTCACAGCAACCTCAAACTCCTGGGCTCAAGTGATCCCTTTGCCTCAGCCTCCCGGGTAGCTGGGACTACAGGCATGCGCCACCATGCCCGGCTAATTTTTTATATATATATCAGTTGGCCAATTGATTTCTTTCTATTAATAGTAGAGACGGGGTCTCGCTCTTGCTCAGGCTGGTTTTGAACTCCTGACCTTGAGCAATCCACCCGCCTCGGCCTCCCAAGAGCTAGGATTACAGGCGTGAGCCACAGCGCCCGGCCAGGAACAAATTTTTTAAAAAATATTTTACCTAAAGATAGCTTTCACTTATGAACTTCATGTTATCTCTGACAAGCTACAGGTACAAATCATATAAAGGCAAATTACATATACATATGGTAACATTTTGTTTTTGAAATAAGTTGTAGGAAAAATAAATATAATACCATATATATAAAATATACACATACAAAAATAATTCTGTTTTCCACACAAAACAATGAATTGTAAAAAGCCAAAAAATGTGAAGGGAAAGTGAAATGAGATATATCATACTATAATGTTTTATATTTTATAAAGAGAATATAATCATGTGCTATTTGTATAATTAATAATTAACAGAGAAAAAAGTTTGTAAATCAAATCTTAACTTTCCTATTTAGTGTATAATCTTACAGATGTCTTTTGATTAAAAAAAAAAAGAATTCTGGCCCCGAAACATAATCATACTCAAGAATATGGCAACTCAGCCAGATTTGGTGGGGTGCACCTGTAGTCCCACCTACTCAGGAAACTGACGCAGGAGGATCACTTGAGCCCAGGAGTTCAAGCCTGGGCAACATAGCAGGAACTCATCTCTTAAAAAAAAACAAAAAACAAAAAAAACTAAATAAAGAATATAATAACTCCATTCTGAATACCTGCTTTAAAAATGTATTATTCATTGAAATAATACTACTACTCTAATCTCCGAATAAATCTTACAGTTTTACCACTAAAAAAGCAAATAAAGCATCTTTAGAAAGCTCAAAGGAATTTCTCTTGACCTTAGCACCTTGAGCACTGCCTCATTTCTTCAAGAAGTTTTACACCTTAATTACTAGCTACCTCTTTATTTCCTACACCTTTAAGAGCTTAAGACTCTATCCTAAAAATTGGCAGGTATGTCCTAACATTCCTTCATGGCTTTATTGACAATATCTTCATTTCTGATTTCTGATTCCAAACATTCATTTGAAAGGAGTACATCGTAAAGGACTTCATATATTGTGTTATATTCATAATGTTTTACAGAGTTCAAAAATCAGGGCTGTGAAAAAATGTTTTCAAGTTGGAACAGAGACATAAAGTTGTAAATTTACCATGACTCTAAAGAGAAAATCATGCCTACTTTGAAAATGACAATTGCTGTGAATAGGACAGCAAAGTTAAACAAATAGGGGAGTGGAAGACACACACAGACGTAAAAAAAGGGAAAACAGAAAGTGAGAGACAGAAACATGTTCTACCACATGGCAAAAGTGAAATATATTTTGAAGGTGGAAAAGGTAAAAGGAACAATGACTTGACTATACATAACACCTCCCAGAAAACAAACAGAAACACAAAAAGAGCACCAAAATATACATTAGTACCTATATCCTTCTGGAAAGCTCAAAAATTAAAATAAGTGGCTGGGAGAAATCATTTGTAAAGGGACAGAGAAGGGGTTATAGAGGACAGCAATTGCATTTCAACCCCACTCTGTCTTTTCATGTATAAAAGAATTGTTCCTTTCCTGACCACTCATCAAATTTTCACACAATATAAATAAAAGAGAGAGAAAATGTGAGGCCTTGGCTTTCCGAAATGAAAATAGCAGATTAAAGACATACAGCATATTGGTAAAGATAATTATCTAACCAGTAATTTAGAGACTTATGGTAAGAAAATATCACAGAATGTTAGTTTATATGAAGATATAAAAATGTACACACATGCATATTTAAGGTAAACTACCATAAAGTCAATAGTACCTGTGCCAACCTTCAGTAGCAAGACCACTGTTTTGCCTCTAGAGGGCGAACTTGGTCTTCTGGAAAAACTAGACAAGAGAAGTTACTTTCAGACTTTAACCCCAAAAAAAGGAGATAAAATTTAAGATGTCACAATAGCGGAGGTTCACAACCTTTTTGGGCTAACAATGCCCTTAGTATCTCAGTAAGTTTTTCATGACAACCTCTAAACCTAAAGAAATACCAAATGGTTCTGTTTAATAAGTAGCTATGTGCAAACAATTTAATAATTGATTTACATGCTAACAATTAGTAATCATTTTTTTAAATACACATAAATTGAAAGAAAAAAGTTCTCATTCTTAAATATCAATTTCTAATTGGGCATGTATAGCTGTGGTGCACTATACAGCTTCTCAAACCTTGACTGATGTTAGACATCGCTCTCATTTCCAGATACTGATTTTTGTCCAGTATCTGATATTTATCACAACCTTAGAAAAACCAGATTCATAAGGATATTAATATGATGCCACAGAAAAGTACTACTTAATGTTAGAACTGTGTAATATTTCAAATTAATAGTCCATATGCACCACATGCAACAAATGTGGAGTATCACTGACTCAACCTCAAAAAATTTAAGTATCCCATGGTTCCCCCTGCCCATTAGCTGCAACACACCAGAGTCTGAGTTTGAGAATCATGCACTATAGTTTTCAATTCCCGCAGATAAACAGTCACTATTTTAATTATCTGTAAATAAAATTAATGTTTTTGTTTTTTATCTATCTATTCATTTTTTTGTTTGTATATATTCATGGGGTACAAGTACAATTTTGTTACAATGATATATTGCATTGTGGTGAATTCAAGGGCCTTCAGTGCACACATCACTGAAGCAACATACATTGTACCCACCAAGCTATCTTCCACTACCTCCCCATTGCTACCCCCTAACCCCAGTATTGTTTTTAAAGATCTAAAAATTATTTTCCTATATTACTTGGAAAACCAGTTTTTCTTCTAAGCAATAAAAGAACACCATTAAATAGTTAAGGGAAGATACTTTTCCCAATTTGAATGATGATTATTGCCCTAACGAGGTTATTTTTACGGTGTTTCCCCGAAAATAAGACCTACCCATAAAATAAGCCGTAGCAGGATTTCTAAGCATTTGTGCAATATAAGCCCTACCCCTAAAATAAGAAATAGTGATGGGCATGGCTACCAAGCGTATCTGCACAACCCATGCATTTCGTCACAGAGTGGTAAAGAAGACAAGCAGCCCTTCTCATCTGCCCCATCGCAACAGCTACTATCCCAGAGGTGACCAGAAAGGTGCGGGCAGCCCCACCAACAAGGTTGGCTCCCATCAGGTCCCGGCCATGCTGTGCGTGCTGCAAGGTGAGGCTTTGAGGAAAAATAGCACATCCCCTGAAAATAAGCCCTAGGGTGTCTTCTTGAGGAAAAATAAATATAAGACCCTGTCTTATTTTCGTGGAAACATGGTATATATGCTGGTTGTGTTAAATCTGGTAAATACAATTGGAAAAGAGAAAAATAGGAAATTTATTATGTATCTTCTTCTGAGCAATAACTTCTCTGAACTTAAATACTGTAAATTGATCCAGTCTCATTGCTTTCCATTCTCACTAATCTAATACAGAGAACTTAAAAAGTCAAATAAGATCAGAAAGTGTTAAGAACTCAAGAATGCAGGCCAGTGTGGTGGCTCACATCTGTAATCCCAGTACTTTGGGAGGCCAAGAATCACTTGAGGCTAGGAGATCGAGACTAGCCTAGGCAACAGAGCGAGACCCCTATCACCAGAAAAAAAAATTTTTTTTAATTAGCTGAGTGTGGCGGAGCATGCTAGCTACTCAGGAGGCTGAGATAGGAGGATCATTTGAGTCTAGTAGTTTGAGGCTGCAGTGAGCTATGATTGCACCACTATGCTATACCCTGAGAGACAGAGAGAAACCCAGTCTCTTAAAAAAAAAAAAAAAAAACTTAAGAATATAGATGTTAATAGGGATATTAGAAGAATTGGCTCCTAAATTACTGCGAACATATTACGTACCAACTCTTCTCACTTATGAAGCCCTTGGTTTAGGCCAAACACCAGAAAAATGACAAAGGAAAGAGTTCAAACTCATAATCTATTCAGTTTTTATATTTTACTATTTTATCAGTTCACAACTACCAATATTCATAAAATCTGTGTCACTGGCAAATGCTACCAAGTCCAACAGGAAATCAAATCAAAGTATGTGGTGAGAGTGATTAGCTGAATTTTTTTTTTAACAAAGATACCCAAGGAATAACTAGAAAAGAAAAATCAATGTTCTTTTTTTTTCCCCTCCCGCTAGCTTCCTCCCTCTTTGAAAATAAATGTTCTATTACTTTAAAGAATTTTCACAACCATTAAAGATAATAGATAATGTGCAGCCTGTTTCTGGAACCAAAAAAAAAAAAAAAAGAAGGTTACTATAAACATCTATAATCCTAAAAGTTTGTATCTACAAAATAAAGAATTAAAATAGAATATGGTTAGTTATCTAGAGAAGAATGCTTGAAAAGCTAGGGCAAACTACACGGCTCTATATTAGTACTTACCTGTTGAATGATTTTGGAAGTTTTCTGAAGATTCTCTCTGGGAGGGACTTTACCAAATAATTTCCAACCAGGAGCACTATGGACAACTGATTTGAGTTCCTTTGTCCTTTTTGGAAAAAGGTTTCTGAAACACAGAAAAGTTACATGAATTGTGTTTTTTGTAGCCAGAGAGATATTAAACAATACTTTTTGTTTGTTTGTTTTCAAGGTAAGATTTCTGTTTTCCAGGCTACAGTGCAGAGTCATCATCATAGCTCATTGCAACCTCAAACTCCTGGGCTCAAGTGACCCTCCTGCCTCAGCCGCCTGACTAGCTAGCACTACAGGCATGCACTACCATGCCTGGATAATTTTCGTATTTTTTGTAGAGACAGGGTATCACTCTTGCTCAGGCTGGTCTGGAAATCCTGGCTTTAAGCGATCCTCCCACTGTGGCCTCCCAAAGTGCTAGGATTACAGGCATGAGCTACTTTGCCTGGCCATTTAACAGTACATTTCAAAGCACGCTTATTACCAACGCAAATACAAAAATACCTTTAAACAAATTATTTCTACTACTTATACCACTATTAGACAAAAAAGGTTCAATTAAGAATACCTGGCTTATACAGAGGTATTAGAAGAATCATCAACAGAAATACTAACAAGATAAACAAACTGGAAGAAAAATGACAGCAAAAATTAAAATATAAATATTTGCTTTAAGCCAGCTACAAAGTATACTAGAATTAATAATACAAGTATGAAAATAAAAGTCAAGAATTTGAGAACCAGAAAGTTTAAACCACATAAAATAGCTAAAGAACTAAGTAATACAATATCTGGTTTAATCACAAAATATTACTATATTAAGTATTCACTATGTTAGGTGGTAAAAAAGGAATTTGTATGTTTAAAAGAAAAAAAAGCTATTTAAAAAATTGGAAAAATACTATTACTTACAGTAATAATTTATCAATTACAAAATAAAAATGCATCTACTGATCCCCCATTGCTATAATATGTATATATGTAACTTGCTTTTCCTAGAACAGCTACATATTGACTCTTTGGTAGTAAGTCTTCTTGTACATAACCAAGGAAAAAAGTACCTCTCACTGAAAAGAAAAACCTAAAAAAATCAGCACACATATCAGGGATTTTATCTATTATTTCCATGTCCTAACCAACCAAATTAAGTACCTTTATGTACATGTAAGCAACAATGAAATTCAAAATATGTACCTATCAAAATAGCATGACCAAGGCACTATGGACCAATTAGAAAAGGTACTGATAAATCTAAAATGAACTATCAACCTTTTCTATAAGATATGATATAAAATGGACATGAAGAAAATTTTAAATTCACAAAATTAGTTAGACACAGTTTCAAATTAAAGTACCAAATAACTGTTTATCTACATTCAAAATACCATATAAATATATCTTTAAAATACAGTATAATGATAACAGGAAATAAATTTTTAATGAACAATGTTAACAGACTCCTCCACAAGAATGTGGGCTAATCAGTTAACAAAGAAAAGAAACACTTTTATTTCCTTAGGTGTGCAATGGAAATAAACACATGACACTAGTGTAATTTCTATGTAAGATACCCTGGAGGTTTCATCTCAGAGATCAAGTACAGTGACATAATTATCTACTTCATAAGATTACTAAACAGTTGATCTACTTCCACTTCCACTTAAAAAAAAAAAAAAAAAAAAAAAACAGTTGAATGTTTTCAATAATAAATATGCTGAGGACTAGGAATACTTATAAGAAATAATTTCAAGGTCGGGTGTGGTAGCTCACACTTGTGATCCTAACACTTTGGAAGACCACGGCAGGAGGATTGCTAGAGGCCAGTAGTGCAAGAGGAGCCTGAGTGACATAGCGAGATCCTATCTCTATGAAAAATAAAAATATTAGCCAAGTGTGATCATGTGTGCCTGTATTCCTAGCTACTTGGGAGGCTGAAGAAGGAGGATTGCTTGAGCCCAGGAATTCAAGATTGCAGTGAGCTAAGATGATGCCACTGTATGGCATGGGCAACAGAGCAAGACCCTGAAAAGATCCTGCCTCAAAAAAAAAAGAAAAAAAAAAAGAAAAACAATTTCAAGCCTCAAAGAATGGCCTATTAATATAATGTTTCATATGTTGTGTATCACTTATCAATTTATTGCCTCTTAGCTCCATATCTACCCTTACACTATGTGATAATAGACAAAATTCCATTAAGCATTTCTCCTTTGAAATGAACATGAAACTGTTAAGCTTTCTGGGTAAAGGTTGCCAAAGGGACACTGTAGGACAAAGGGGGCTCTCTCATGGTTTTCAGCTGCTGCAGAGTGGTTCTTGGTATAAGTGTGAGGACCATCCAGTAAAATTCTGCTCAGCCACACGCCCAGACAGTATAGTCCCTTGGCAAACTTGCAGCCTCAGCAAATTTGCGGCCTTGGCAAACCTGCAAACTCAAACTGGAGATGGCTGTCCTGCAGCCCTCTCAACATAGAAACTCACTTACCAAAGGCTTCCTGCCACACCAGTGTGCAAATTCCCTGTGCAAGCCCCACCCAGCCAACTTGTGTACCCACTCCTCCCGGTCAGTTCTCACCCAGCCATACTCCCTTTACAACCACCATGTGACCTGCCTATACTCTAAAGGTTTCCCATCCACCCACACTAACAAACAGAGGAGAAAATCTTTGTCACCATATTTTATGCAAAGAATTCTTGGATGTGATACCAAAAGCATGATATATAAAAGAAATAATTGATGAATTGGGCTTAATCAAATTTAAAACATTTGTACTTCTAAAGACATCATTTATAGAAAATGGCAAACTAGGAATATCTAGGAGTCAGTCCCTCCACCAAAGTAAAAACTGAGCTTCAACTACTTTAGAACTCTAGAACTTGATCAGACATTTTAAACCACCAGAGGAGTGCTTGATGAAGGTAAAGGCTACTGATTTTTCATAAGTGAGTAGCATGCATAAACCAACTATCATCTCCATTTCTCAGACCCCCCACCTTTCATGCCAGTGGGAATAGCAGAGTCCATGTTCCTCGAGAGAGGTGCTGGCAGGAATATTGGGAAAAATGTCCTTCAGAAATTTGGGGTTCTGCATTTTGGATGGTCTGGCAGTGCCCTAGGGGACTGGTACAGATGGATGCATCAGTTCCAGTCCTCTCTACAGCAGTGGCTTTACTGACAGTATCTAACAGAACAATTAAAGAAAGTAGAAATATTTTTGTCCCCCTTTTTGGAGCCAGACATTTAAGTAAATCTTGTCAGATCACCACCTTACCACAAAGATTACAGGACAAAAACTTGTGACCATACATAGAAAAGAATACACACTTTGCAAAAATGCTAACGGGAATACTTCAGGCTGAAATTAGACATCAGACAATATCTCAAAGCCATGAGAAGAAATAATGAACACTGGTAAAATTAACTACATCGGTAAATATAAAAGCCAGTATTATTATACTCTTTGTTAGTAACTCCTTATTTTTCCCACATGATTTAAAAGGCAAATGCGGCCGGGCGCTGTGGCTCACGCCTGTAATCCTAGCTCTTGGGAGGCCGAGGCGGGCGGATTGCTCAAGGTCAGGAGTTCAAAACCAGCCTGAGCAAGAGTGAGACCCCGTCTCTACTATAAACAGAAAGAAATTAATTGGCCAACTGATATATATATAAAAAATTAGCCGGGCATAGTGGCACATGCCTGTAGTCCCAGCTACTCGGGAGGCTGAGGCAGAAGGATCACTCGAGCCCAGGAGTTTGAGGTTGCTGTGAGCTAGGCTGACGCCACGGCACTCCGGGGAACAGAGTCAGACTCTGTCTCAAAAAAAAAAAATAAATAAAAATAAATAAATAAATAAATAAATAAATAAAAGGCAAATGCATAAAAAAAATTTATAAATTTATGTTAATGGGCACACAATGTACAAAAATGTAATCTGCAACAATAACAATATGGAGGAGGGGGGGCAGAGATATATAGTTGCAGAGTGTTTGTACACCACTTGAAACTAATTTGGCATCATTTAAACTAGGCTGCTATAAATTTAAGGCATTAATTGTAATCCCTGTGGTAACCTGAGAAAATAAATAAAAATACATAGAAAAGGAATTTAAAAAGGAATCAAAATGGTACACTACAAAAATTTAACTGGAAAAAAGGGCAATAATAGAGGAATTGAGGAACAAAAAACACACAACACATACAGAAAACAAATAGCTAATTGGCTGAAGTAAATCCTCACTCCTCAGCAATTATTTTAAATGAAAGTCTCCAATTAAAAGACAGAATTCCATGCCTGTAGTCCCAGCTACTTGGGAAGCTGAGGCAGAAGGATTGCTTGAGCCCAGGAGTTTGGGTTGCTGTGAGCCAGGCTGAAGCCACAGCACTCTAGCCTGGGGAACAGAGTCAGACTCTGACTTAAAAAAAAAAAAAAAAAAAAAGACAGAATTCATATAGCAACAACAAAAATAAATAAGTGGGGCATGATTAAATTAAAAGCTCTGCAGAGCAAAGGAAATAATCAACAGAATGAATAGACAACCTACAGAATGGGAGAAAATGTTCACAAACTGTACATCTGATAAAGGGCTAATATCCAGAATCTATAAAGAAACTCTAACAAACCAGTAAGAAAAAAACAAACAAGCCCATTATAAAGTGAGCAAAAGGCATGAAGAGAAGCTTTCCAAAGGAAGATAGACAAATGGGCAACAAAAATATGAAAAAATGCTCAACATCAATAATGATCTGGGAAATGCAAATTAAAACCACAATGAGATATCACTTTATCCCTGTCAGAATGGCCATTGAAAAAGTCAAAAAACAACAGATACTGATATGGATGCAGACAGAAAGGAACACTTATACACTGTTGGTGGAACTGCAAATTAATACAACCTCTATGGAAAACAGTATAGTTATTTCTCAAAGAACTAAAAGCAGACCTGCCATTTGATCCAGCAATTCCACTGCTGGGTATCTACCAAAGAGAAAGGAAGTCATTTTATCAAAAAGACACCTGTACTTGAATGTTTATTGCAGCACAATTCACAATCACAGACATGTGAAATCAATCTAAGTGTCCATCAATTTGAGAGTGGAT